CTAAAAATTTAACCAAATAAAGTTCATTTAGTATACTATAATATGAATCAAAAATCTCATTTTTTGTTAAAAGTCACTGGAATCCATTTTTAATAGCAAAGCACCCATATAGTAGATTAAAATTTTCTTCCCTTTAAAAAAAACTGAAATCTTTAAAATTAAAAAAATTACAATTAAATCATATTTAAAAATACAAACAAATATACAATAACTTAAAGAGAATAAAAAAATAGAATGCTTTTTTTGAAATTGCTATAGAAAAAAAATTTTTTCTATAGAGTATCTTTGCAGAATTCAGAATGAAAAATGATAAAAAAAATCCAGAGTTCTGAAAGTTTTAAAAATATCATATAAGTATTACTATTAATAGATTTAACATAATAGCATTAAATTTGATATAAGACTATACATATGTTTGATTTAATTAGTATATACAAGGCAATCAATAGTATTAGAATACATTTTTAAGGTTCTTTTTCTAAATTTCAAAGTCTTTACTAAAATATTCATCAGCTTCTATACCTTCGTAGGATTCACAGAATATTTTCTAAATAAGTTAGTCTTGTTAGGTCTCGATCAATTCTTTTTGTGATATATCAAGTAAATTATTGTAGTTTTCTAAATCATATTCTTCATATTCTTTTGGTGATAATAATGACACAGCTACCATTATCTTATACAATAATTTGTACACAACCTGATTATTTTGTCGATATCTTTTCATAAAATCCTCTGTCTCTTTATTTTCATTGATATTATCTTTAATAACTTGAATAGCCCATTTATATTGTTGATATTTATTCATAAAATCCTCTGTCTTTTTATTTCTATCTTTAATGAGAATATCACAATATGATAATTTTACAATATTATTATTTTTTCCTTTAATATAAGCTCTTTATGACCTTTTTTCTTTACATAAATATCATTTTTATCTTTGATTTGTACTTTGATAAAAAAAGAAAATATGTCAGACAAATTAAAATATAATCTATTATGTATAATAACGAGAATATTTTTTATATAGACTAATATTATTTTGTTATTAATTAAGAGAAGTTATATAACTTGCAATAAAGCAGAGATAATATAAATTTCACAGAAGAATATATTAATAGTAAACAATTATATAAAGTACAAAAAAAGTAAGACCAAAAGACAGATTCTATTCTTCTATTCTTATATTATTATGATAGTTTATCAAAAGATTTATTAATTGAAATCTACGTTAAATTGTAGTAATATACTTAAATATGGGAGGCAGTCAGTAGAAAAAAGGGAAATCCAAAATTTTTGTTAATTTTAATTATTAAGCTAATTTTGTGCACATAACCGAGATCAGCCAAGTGATCCAATAATATAAATTTTGATCAAAATTTGGATTTCTCCCTTTTCTACTGACCATCTCCCATATACCTAAATTTAATTTTTTAATTTTATTACATATATCTCTATCGCTATCAAGATATTCAAAGTTATTATTATAGTTGATAATCAAATATCAGTTTAATGTATCAGAAAAACAAAATTGCAAGCCAGTGCAAATTAGACACTAAATATATAAAAGTTTAACATAATTGTCCTTATTTTACAAAAAAAAAATAATATCAAAAAATACCTTAAATAGTCTTTGTCAAGTATGTCTACATAAATATTCTATAAAATACAATAATAAATTATTATAATTTCTACAGTATCAGCAGAAATAGCAAAAACAAAAAATACATTATCATTTTTTTATATCTTTTAATTTAATAATATTACTTTAACATTTATTATAACTTTCCTATAGATATATATAACCTAGAAATATTCTGTTATATGAATTAATATCATATTTATTGATGTTATTTCTAAGTATCTCCTGTATTTTAAATTGTGATTCTGAATAAAATATAACTATTTACAGATAAATGGCATTTAATTAATACTTTCAGATATAGTAGGTATGAGTAGAATAGCGGGCTTTTATTATAGTTGGCTAATTTTTACAAATCATTTTATGAGGTGATGTAATATTTTCATCTAATTAGAACAACCTTCTTAATGATTGGTCAAAATATTCAGAAATTCTATTGATTATATTCAGCTATTTAATAATTAATAATCAGAATTAAAGAAAATTTGACCAGATAATATCATGTGATAATGCATAATACTAGTCCATGAGATACAAATAATAAAATTAGGGAGTATGAATATAATTTTTTTAAATTTATTCTAATTTAGTATCAATTAACAAATTTAAAGATTGATATAATTGATATAATATATGCTTTAAATAATTTAAATGCAAAATTCAACATACTAATAAATTTTAATCTTATATTTTAATCAATATTTTAATTTTAATTCTAATTTAAATAATTGAGTTAATCCAATTTATTATAACACATTGAATGATGATAAAATTTTATATAAATCGATATCTTCTGTGATATTTAATACATTTATTTCATTATCATTATACCCTTCATTCATATTATTTTTAGTATTATCATTTTCTAAAACTAATTTCTTCAAAAAACTTATGCTATTTTTACCCTACAATTTCTAATAATTCCTTCTATTAGATAACTATTACAATAATAACAAGATTTAATAAAAAGCATTCATAATAGTATAAATGTTCACATATTAAATTACAATCGATATTGTGGAAAATTCACATTCTTTTCAATTATAATACCTATTAAGCTTTAGAGAAAAGGTTGTATTCTATGCTAACAGAAGTAATTTTTACATTCACTATTGTTTTTAATGATGAAAGCTTATATTTCAGATATTTATATTTACCTGATATATCAATTATTGTTTTACTAATATTATAATGTGCCTTAATAAAAAGTTTCAAAAGAAATATAGCTGACTTTTTTTTTCATAAACTCCAATTCCCTTTCTATATATATTATATTATGAGACTTAGAGAAAGTTTTTTGAATATGTTATTATCTCAATTTTGATCAATAATTTTAGCTTGACAAATAATTTATTCTGATAAATTTGATGCATTAATTTGAAGATGAAGTGAATAGAAGTATTCAATATTATTAATATGCAATTTTAATAGATCGCTACAGTTAAACAAAATGTTTGAGTATTGTTCTTTTTAATATACATAATAATCTACTGATTTATTCTTAAGTCTTGAACTTATAACTAGTATCACTCAGATGTATTAAAACTGTACTTCACTAAGATTGTATATTATTATAAAGATTTACAATAGCTGTAGTTATCACAAAGGTTTAAACTGTCACTTTAACTTATGAAAGTTTATAATATCACTCTGATTTATAAAATCACACAGATGTATAATATCACTCAGATGAGAATGTAAAATATCATACAGATGTATAAGATAAATAATGAAACAGTCTATTGATAAATAATAAGAGAGAAATAAAGAAATAAAGAAATAAAAGAAATAAAGTAAAGAAAATAAGAAAAAAGGATTTTATAAAGACAAAAAAACACATAACTATTTAAGATATTTTTAAAAGAATTATTACATAAAATTGAATCGAATTCTCTAATATAAAGACCTGATTATCTTGTATTTACAAAGGTTTGTAATGTCATACAAGCTGAAAGATTTATATATTATGATATTTTTGAAGAATTATTGCATACAGCTGAGTTGAATTCTGTCTGAAATAATATCCTGATTTACAAGGGTTTATAATAACATAATAAAAGAAGAGAGTAAAGAAATAAAAAAATAAAAGATAAGAAGAATATTAGTATTAGGATAGAGGAAATCCAATTATTCAATTCCCTAGCATTCTAATATTTACAAACCATTCTATTTATATAAAACAATTTACATATAATAACAAATTAACTAAATTAACTATATTAGTTATATTAAATAAATTAAATATATCAAATCTATAAAAAGTATTTAATATTCTTGCATTCTTAATATTCTTGATATAATTGATATTTCTAACATTTATAACATTATATATGCAAATTAATTTGTAGAAAATCTAGTAGATCAATTTTGTGTAATTATTGGTGTAATTTTTCTAATAGATCAATTTAGTAAAATATGTTGATCATTTACTTCACATTTTCTTATTAAAATAACCCTATAATAATACAATAATCATTAAATAAGTGAAGATTTTGTTCAATAACTTATGCTATAGGGTGATGTGTATTGAATCAGTAAAATATATTGCTGAAAAAAACTAATAGAAGCTTATATAATTCTTTCGTTTATATCTAAAAAAAAAGAATCTAAACACAAAACATTGCATCTATATATGCTAGTCAATGATCACTTTGAAATATTATAAGATAAAAATCTAAAACTAATGGAATATTATTTAAAAGATTTATTAAATATTTTATCTTAATATCTTTACAATTTCAGAATTTTTTAATATGTTATTTCTTATTAAATTCTATCCAGTTTAAGTAATAAATTAATTCTATATACTTTAGGCTTCTTTGCTAGTTGTTTATTTTTCATATAAATCTCACAATATAATTTGTTAAAAAAATTATAATTTAACATTAAAACTTTTTCATAAGAATTTAAAGAAATATATAAAAGACCAATAAGTAAAATAATATGAGGTAATAAAGATGAAAATTCAAACCTATTTCTAGAATTAAAATAAGCAGAAATAGTACGTCACATATAAAACTATCTAGGATAATCTATTGGTACTATAAGAATATGATGTTCAAAATATAACTTTAACTCTAGAACATCTAATATTATTTTAAACTTAAATGTAATCTTCTGTAAAATGCAAGCTCTTCTCTATCAAATTTATAAGCTTTATTATTCTATTATCATAACTATAAACTAAAAGTATTTTAACATGTTCTTTATAGGTAGATATTTCTAGTAATTCTTTGATAAAAGCTAACTTACGCTCATTATATATTAGCTAAAAATAAGAAAAAATTAAACATTACACTTTTTCAATAATAATATTAGAACCAATGCTAAATATTTTTACCTGTAAATAAATTTATAAAAGAGGGAGCTATAATCCCAAGTGTTGTTTTTAATAATATAGTACGAAAGTGATGAACATTAGATATCATTATTTATTAATACGTTTTTTTGAGTAGAGTATCATCAGATTATTTATCTATAATAATATTATTGTTTATTAAAATTAATATAATTAAAGATCTTATAATAATATTTTAAAAAATTATACTTGCATGTTCTGATACAAATGCTTCTACTGTTTCAGTATAAATAGATTCTTACTATTTTATGCTTTGTTACAGTTTCATATCTAATACTGATGTCTACTCTAGCAATTGTTTCTATTGCTAAAGCTGATGCACCTGTACTGTATAACATATATCCAATATCTACCTTGATTTCATTAATAAACTTATTATTTAAACTTGCCAAAAATAACAACATAAACTAAATGTTGTTTATTTTTAGTATTTGTCATATTACTTTTATTAAATGGGTTAGTTCTGATATAAAAATATATAATATATCTAATTTTGCCTTTTTTATTTCTTTACATATCTCTTGATATGCCTTGTTAGTTTTTCATATTAATTCAAAATATATAAAATATTGCTTCTAAATGCATATGTTCTATTGTGAATTTTTATCAAAGGTTCTTCTAAAGTGGCCTTACTATTTGGATAAGAATTATTTAATATATCCTGTCAATATCACTAGTATATTTGTAATGATTACAAAGCATGGCATTAGTTAGAAGATTAAAATATTCAATTAAATAATTAGGTGCTTTATCTAATTTTATATCTTTTAATGCAGATACTAAATACTCTTTATATTTAAGATATGTATATTCCTCTTCTTTTATAACTGTTTTTTGCTTTTTTGTAGTATTTATTATTAATTTATTCCTGTGTCTTCTACAAGGGCTTGTTTACTAAGTTTAGAAAAATACTTTATTCAGAAATTTTCACA